CGAGCCGAGCGAGCCGAGCGATAGCTCGTTGCTCCGCGGTAACTAGGAAGAAATTCCGTAATTCGGTGCTCGGCGTGATGGCGAGCCGGGTTGGGTTGGGTCGGGTGGGTTGCCTGCGTTCTAGGAGATTCCTCAAGGACATTTCTGCATCGCGCCGAGCAAACGCCTCCATACATGGCGTGATCGCGGATGACTGGTAGGATATATCGGTAGGAGTCACCTACTTTTCATCCCGTCCATTATTTCCCCGTAATTTATGCGTAATTGCGGAACGAATCGCTCGATAATTCCCGCTATTCCAGGAAAATCCCTTCTTCTGATCCGTGTGTCGTTTCATTTTCTTCTTCTTTTTTTTCCGATATATAGGCCGATCGAGGATCGATCGACATCGATTCGCCGTATTCGGGGACCGATAATTGTCTCGTTTCTCCATATATAATCGCGACGAACGTCGATCGATTGCTCGAGCGTGAGACGGAGAGAGAGAGAGAAAGAGAGAGAGGGAAGAGGTAAATCGTCTAAGCCTTGGAAAAGAATATCCGCGATTGCGTTGTAATTAATTGAAAAACGACGACTCGTTCGCATTGACCATCACCCGCTTTTGTCGCGATTCGTCCTCGTCGATTTCGAAGCGAGACGAGGCGTTTCGATCGATTTTAAAAAGATAAAGATCCTTTCGAATCGTAAAAAACGTATATTCATGCTCGAGAAAGCAAATGCGCATACGTTGCGGAAATATCGTACGTGAATACTTTTATTTTTCACAAAAAAATCGATATTGATATAATTTTTATTATTATTTATTTATTTATTTTTTTTTTTCCTCCGCACTTTTATGATCTCTAACGAACGAGAAGATTTTCTGAATAATAATAATAATAATCCATCAACACCGATACCGATATAATAAAGTTGCGATAATCGATCGTGCGATAAATATCGTGGCAAATTGGTCGAATTGCGCAAAGTAATCGACACGGTGGTGTGGTAGCCGTCGTTCGATCATTTCAACCGGTTTCGTACGAAACCGATTCTATTTTGGTGGGTCGGTAAGCCGCGAGAGAAGTTATAGCATCCACGTACCTAATGGTATTGTTTTCGATTAAAAATAACGGTCTCAGTTGGTCGGCTATATATACAAGTAACGCCACAAGTGCTCTAGAATGCAGATTATCCATAAGAATCGATGACGCGCGATGTTACGCATTTAACGCCGTGTAAAAAAAATCGGGACGTGATTTATTTCTTTCCAAAGCTCTCGTCGAAAATTTCCACTCGATCGGAGATTAATTTAATCTCGTTTGAGATTTAAAGGAGAGAGAGAAAAAAGAAAAAAAAAACACACATGGATTCGACGCGACGATGAATCTTAATCGAAGGAATGCGATTGTAAAGCGAAATGATCGTAACCAAACACGAGTGTAAGACGAGGAGCGAGCGAGCGAAGATAAGTATATTTTTCTCTTTTCTTCTTCTTCTATTTTTTCGCGTTACGCGAGCCGCTTAAAATTAAATTAACATTCTTTCGTCAACAATGTTTATCTTCGTGAAAGAAATGAAAGAAAAGGAGACGAACGAACGGATTGTACGTACGTTACTATAAATTCGTTTTTCAAAAAGTCGTTCATCAAATTTTATTTTATTTATTTATTTATTTTTTTATCATTATTATACAACTTTTGCAACTTTTAAGGCTAGAGAGATACCGTCGTTGATTTCCGTCTATTTTTTACCACAGTTTCGATCGTGTAACATTGGATAGATAAAGGGGTCTTGAAAACGGAGGGAGGCGTAATCGCGTCAAAAGTTGAGATTCGTTTCGCGTGAGTAATAATCTCGATGCGATCTCGATGAAGATGATTCATAGAAAGTGATTCGTTCCGCTTTCGATCTGGAGGGGCACATAAATTTATCGGATTTATATTTGGAAAAAAAAAAGCTCGGACACAATATTAATAGTTTGCGTAATTGAGGGTGACGTCATGATACAGAGGTCAGGGCGCCACTTGCGTAAGTTTACTTTCATTCATGGCAATGGCCACACCTCGGGGCCGCTAAATGCACGTCGCGTTCGTTTCCACTTTTTCTTCCCCACTCACCCGTAAAGAAGAAAAAAAGAAAGAAAGAAAGAGAGAAAGAAAGAAGAGAGAAAGAGAGAAAGAAAGAAAGAAGAAAGAGAGAAAGAAAGAGAAAGAGAAGAGAGAAAGGAAGGTAGAAAAAGATGGAGAGATAAAAGTAACGACGCATCGTCGAATAATTCGATTTAGGTCAACTGCTCGCGAAAGAAGCGAAAACTGAGATTTTCCATCTGGCTGGGAGCCCGAGTTTATTTTCTTTGGTGAAGTACTATCGACCGAATCTTTAAGCGCCGGACGGAACTCACGTCGTTCGCGCGATTTCTGTTTGCTTGCTAATTTCCAACGAAACATATCTGTTGCTCGAACTTTCGAAAAAATATTTCTTCCGAGGCTCTCTCGTAAATCGTTCGGATCCTCTTCGAACTTCCAAGCTCGACTCATCCACATCGAAAGAGAAATGAAAGAAAAATCGTCGAAATAATGATGTATTCGCGTGATAAAGAAGTGATCGTCGCGTCGAACAAAACGTAAAGCAAATATTTCGAAACAGTTCTTGAATGATTTTGAGAAGCGATGATTGAAAACATTTCGCGTATTATCGAAGACTATATTATATTATAGTTGGCTAGCATGCGTTTTCTTAAAATAGATCTGAAAAGTATACAAGAAGAAGAAGAAGAAGAACAACGTTACTCGAATCAAGGAAACTTTTGAAATCTTTTATGAATTACCTCCATTTGCTTTCGTTTTTATCTATATTGCACGTATTGGTGAATTCACGTATCAGTGATGAACCATCGCGTCCTGTTTAAATCGCGTTCACGGAACGAATTTCCTCCCAAAAAAAGATATATTTAATCGGCGTATCAAGATTTTCATCTGACACGTGCCTTTTGTGTGATTAATGTACTGGATCCTGACCTCTAATGTGTCGTTAATTAATCCTTTTCATCTATACAATATATATGTATGTATATATACGTAATAGGTTATACACGCGAAGTCAATGCAAAAGAAAGATACAACGGAAAATTGAGTTTTATAAATGGAAAGTAAAAATTAAACGTGTGGATGATGATGTAGATGATGATTTACGATAAAAATACGATTGTTATTAGACATTCGATATCAAGAATTCCCGAGAGTGATCGGAATTTATTAAAAATGTGTAGACACTGCTGTTCGTAACTTACCAGAATTAGATGCAGCAGGTGGCCGTGGAAGACATTCCAGTTTTGTACATAATGGGTTGAGAGGATTGTCTGTAACAGTTTCGGGTCTAA